CAAAAATAGACATAATTTAGGCGATTTCTGCTGAGTGTTTCTTGTGCTTACAAACGGAGTACCGGAGTACCGCTTTCGTTTGTGTAACACTTTTTTAATGAAGTAACCAAATATAATATTCTTTCGTATCAACGGATATTTGCATCTATTTGATAATCATTTCATTACTCTAAACGATATCACAATACATACCGATACATACCATACTACATATGTAGATCCGTTATGTTTAAGTTTATTTATGCAAGCAGCTGTCATCAGAAATTGGTTATGTGTTGCGGTTTGCATGAATGTTGCAACCTGAGTGCCTTTTGGTAATCTTTCTTTTGTTTTTTTTTTTTTTTTTTTTTTTATTAAAAAAGAGGGACTTACGGCTTAGCGAAAATAAAAAAAAAAATAATTCTTTTTCAACTATTTCTCTATAGCGGACAATTAAACATAAGCGACCATATAAAGTGCATATATGTTTGTTGATTTGTCCGCTCATTTGTTGGCAATCTTTCATTCCATTTTGCGATAACTTAAAAATTTAGAACAAAAATGAAAATTTATATAACTAATTTGAAATCGCATTTTGCTCAACGAATCAGATACGCAGAATATGAATATTCAAATTCATCAAATCATCAAATTGAATCGATATTGATTTCAAATTAAATATATTTTGGATAATCGCATCCGGAATCAAGTCAAATTCCACTGTTAAAGCAAATAAAAATTATTTTACATGGCTTGAAACTTGAATATCTGCCCTCGAAATTTGTATATATGCAGCCGGCTTTTTTCGTTAATTTGTACCGTTCATCTACATCGAAATCATGTTATATGAAACTTTTTTACTTCAACTAAAATATCACGTATAGAATAACATAATTTAAGGTTAGATATAAAATAAATAAATCGAAAAAATTGACACCTTTTCGTACCGAAACCTTATTCGTATTGTATCCAGATCGTGTTATAAGATACCTTGAAGTAAGACAAATCAATGCAATATGTACTACGTTGTTTCGAAACCAAGAGTTAAGGCTCAAAATGTTGTAATGAAATTTCGTTTCAAAGAGTAAGTTAACTTCAAGTTTATATATTGAAAGCAAAAATACATAGATGAGATTCAATATTACGATGAAATACAAAAATTAAAAATGTATTCAAAAAACAAAAATTATATATATATACAGTGAAAGCTCCTTGTTCGCGCTTCATTCACTCGCGGTTTCACTATTCGCGGATTAAAAAATGTAAAAAAATTCCTATATTCGCGGCTATAAATTTCTTCATTCGTGGATCTAATAAGTGCATACATAATAATAAAAAGATTCCAATTGGCAACCAATTACTATTCCGTATTCGCGGTTTCTGTGTTCGCGGCACATATACTCCGCGAATAAAGAACTTTCACTGTAAATATAAATAAATTTGCTTGAAACTCCTTAACGCAAAAATCAAATGAAAACCACGCATATTCGTATCTACGAAATCGTGTTATAATATTCGCGAATTTTATACCGTGTCGGGATCGAAAGCGTACCTTACAAATATGAAATGCATTTTTCTGATCTAGAGAGAGATACGCGTAATATTTGTCCTCACGTATGCGTTGCGTACGGTGTGCTCTCGTTTTTTTTTTTTTTTTTTTTATTTATTATTTTATGCCCTTCTTCTGCCCTTTCGTTTAATTGCAAGTAATGCGTAACCTTGGCTGGTAACTAGTGATGTTGTGCGTCATTTTTAATTAATTGATAAGTTCTGTTAAATAAAACTATTTACTTAACAAAATGAGGTCAAAGAAAAATGATGCATAGAGGCGTAGCATCAAGTCATTCACGAAATAATATCTAGGTGACGTTCCATGCATCACAACTATCCAAGACATACTTCATTCACAGTGAAAGGTTGCATGGAGCAGGCTGCTGCAGATGTATTGAAGTCGCCAGTTCAATCAACGGGTCTCAATATCTCAATATTTACGGACCTTATGAAATGATGTGGATCAGTATATTAGTTCAAATGGAGCATTATACGTACTTGACGAACAATATGCCCCGAAGAGGTGCAACAGTTATTAGAAATAAGTGATAACCAACTAAATATTAACTTGTAAGTGAATCAATTTTTAATTTGTGCTAAATTGTTGCAAAATTTCGTGTTAATTGTGTTACACAGAAAAGAAGTCTCCAAACGCAATAAAAAGATCAAAGAAAAATGATTTTATCTGAACTTTTGATCACATGTAACTCATAAGAGAAAAACGTAAACAAAAATATTCGCCTAACAAAGATACGGGAGTGATACGGGCAACCACCACTGTATGTATGCAATGTATACGAATAAAGCGAATATTTAGTAGAATAGAAACGACTTTTGTGGGACGTTACACGGTACAAAATGGAAACTATATTAAAACATTCCGTTGCACGTCTTGTATATAGAGTTTTTCCGTTAACTGTTACTGAACGCTTAGGACAACGTTCTCAAGACCAGAGTTTTATGTATCACTTTTATTAGAGTGAAACTTAAAGACGAATTTGAATGTGATCTTTTAAAGATAATACAAATCTATCAGGCCTTTTCGACAAACACAAATCGACCCATGGGCTGATTTCGCTGACTTAGGCGAGCCTTTGAAAACTTGTTTATTTTAGCTCCTTATTTTAGCTTATCCCTTAAACATACGGACATGGCCACATCGATTTCGTTACTCATGCTGATCAAACATATGCATATATATATACATAAATTTCGTGAGATTTTCATTGCGTATTGCTATGCGTTGCAAATATTATTTTAATATGCCTCCTGCATGCTACTAAAATGTAAGTGATGCGAACAATGAAATGCTATTTACCAAAATCAATCTTAAAGATAAAGATACAAATCATCTTTTCGTACATTATATGACTAACAAAACGTCCAGAATTCTATAGGAAGTAGAAAACTACTACTACAGTGAATGCTGAAGAAAGATTCAAGTCGTTTTTCCCATCGAAAAAACTTCTCAGTTATCCCGTAGATAAAGACACAATCACGCCTTGAAAGGGCTTAAGTTCATATACCGATATTTCGAACTTTTCTATTCGAAACGAGCTGTATACTGACATTTTCGGATTACATTTAGGTTTTGTAAAAACTTATTTTCAGATAGTGTCGGTTAATCTAATTATGGATGTAAGGTAAGGGAAAAACTTGAAATTACTTTCTATCAAGATGTAACGCCCTCGAGAGAAATAAAGAATTTTCGTATCCATCTTAGAAGAATGGAAGTTTCCGCATTGGAAGTAAGCATTAGATCTTCTGTAGATAATGTAAAATAGTCCGTTAAAGTTGAACGATTAGCCTTTCGTGTTTAACCTGTCGTATGCGATCGAAACAATTGATAAAGAAAGTTGAAACTTGGCAGATTTTATCGTAATTGCCTAAATTGCCCCTTCCTGGGTTTTAGTTGAATGATCAACTGACATGCCCATGTTAAATGAAATTGTTTTTCAATTCTACCCTATTGGTTTGAGTGTGTGTGTAAAGTAAATTTCCTACTCCTTTGCTGCCGAACATTTGCTTTATATAAATATATATATATATATATATATATATATTTATATATATATATATATATATGTATAAGCAAAATGTAAGAAATTTTCTACAGGTTTCTCACTGCTGTTCCCTATGCCTCGGTATACAATGAAATCAAGCGAAAAATCGTGTCGCTTGCCCCAGTGCCTCGAAGCTTGCATTGCTAAGAGCATGAAAATTTAACTTTTCTTTAATTTTGCCAAACAGGAAGTTGTACGTTAATCAGATTCGTTTTTAGATCGTGTAAAGGCTAAGTAAGATTCAATATTTTCAGAATTATCTGAATTTCTTGGACATTTGCTTCTTATGCAACTTTTGCATAGGCTTTTGTGCTTAAGAGCGCCTAAATCTTACGCTTGGTTAGATGATGACTTTAGTTTTTCGATTCGTGAACGGTATCGACGATTTCTTCTGTGAGTAATAATTTTTATTGCTCTTCGTCAGGTTTATTCAGCCGCAAAAATTACATCTCCGAATGATTTCTATAAAGTTTTTTTAATTAAATTTCTTCTTAAATACTTGAAGAAACGAGCGAACTTTAGGGTGTAGTTACTTATCTATCTAGTTTTGCCTTAAGATATCATTACATGATAGCCGAACGCGAGTTCATTCTAAATTTGTAGCGCTTTAGAGCTTATATTTTTCGATTCAATGGCGACGGAAAAGAAATCGATAAAAACGATTTCAGTTAATTTATGCTACGAAGATCAAGTTGCATTTCCTCACATGTCAATAGCAGTAGTAGTAAGTACTAGTAAGTGCACTCTTTCTTTCTTCCCCCCCTTTTTTTTTGTTTTTTTTTGGGTTTTCTCAAGATTAAATTTGTGAACGAGGAAAGGGGCACATGTGAAATATCCTTGTTCACTTGTGCTTGGATGCAGTGCGCTTCAGTGGATAACGATTTTATTCTCAAAAATTTAATTTCAATTTATAAACACTTAGATCAGACATCGCTGACGGCAAAGATTTACAATATGGTTTTAAAATCGAATTATCATTGCATTCGCCTGCATTTTATAGTTAATATATAATGTATGTGTACCGTACAATGCTCTACACACTTTACACGATAATTGATAATTTAATATCTGTAATTTAATATCATGTAATTAAAACGATGTAAATCATGATAATGACGGCAATGTCCCTTAATTAAAATTTAATCGATAGTTAAGTGCTTAATATATTTTTTTTTTTTTTTTTTTTTTGAATAATTTTATTAATAAATACAATTTCTATTGAGATAAAGAAAAACGCGAAATCGTATAAGAAGAAAATTGCCATTAAACAGAACATTGAAATGAGTCTTTATATATATATATATATATATATATATATATATATATATATGTATGTATATAAGGCTGTGTCTTTATAGAAAAAAAAGTTCAACTTTTGTATGAATTTTTATGCATATAGAGGATCACCTTTTTTTGTCAAACGCACTTCATTTGTATGTCTCTCTGTATATATATTATGAAAATAGTTAACACGTTTAGTTAAAAAGGCGATAATTTTCGAGAGCAATTTTCTGAGTTCCTTTTTTAAGATTTATGTATGTAATGTTAGTTTACTTCCTTTACACTAGCAGAGCACGCGCGTATGCTCATCTCCCAGGTTATGAACAAATTACATACATATATATATATATATATATATATATATATATATATACATTCAATATTCAAGTCATTCATAAATTCGTAGTAAAACGTGTTAAAAATTATTTGCGAAAATATTATATATTTTGAACTTTTTTCGATGTCTTCTGTTTTCTTCTTCTTCTTCTTGTTTTCGTTCTTTTTTCTTTTGTTTTTTTGTTTCTTTTTTCTTTTTTTTTTTTAATATACCATCGAAAGCGCTTAACGTTGTTTAACGCCAGAGCGATAAAGCACAACTGAATAAATAACTATGATTATATATGACGGCCCGGCATTAGAGTTAAGTTTAATTGAATACCTAACTCTCTAATATATCTATCTCTTGATCGTTATGTTTAGGCAACAATGTCTCATATAGATTGTTAATTTATGATACAAATACCTTAGTGTCTATATAAAAGCCATGAACACGTGCATTCACTGCAAGAGCATTAATTCGTCTCTCCTTTAGGCTTTAGTTTGGTTAAAATGCTAAAAACACTGAAAACGCCGACTTAAGAGAGCAATCACTTAAACAGTTAATCAATTAGTCGGTCAGTCAGGCAACTACTTATCTAGATTTCGAAAATTGAAAAATACTTTAATTTATTTTTATATATCAACTCATCTCAATTATTTGCATCTCCACAAATAAATCTATCTATTTATCGTTTTTATATATATATATATTTTAAATGTATATTTTGTATATAAATCTTAATATACATTTTTCTCTATATATGTATAAATATTTTAAAAAGCCTCGACACGAAACACTCTGTTTCTGGTTATTTTCTTCGCTAACACAGGTTAAACCATCGTTGCATATTTTAAAGCTTATGCATTATATGCTCGCGTGGAAAAATTTCTAATTTCTGGATGGAGACCGGCTTCAATAGATTCTGCAAATACATATTTTGAAAACATTGCATAAAAAAGTATTTATGAAAATTATTATATGCGAGTACATTTCCTGCATAGGCTGCTTCGATTTTTATGCCATTTTGCTTCCTTTTTAATTTTTTTAATGCGCCTCATCCCTTCGCAGAATATTCACTCCGCCAAAGTGTTGGCAACGCTCGGAAAGCAGCTTCAGAGGCCCAATAAACTATACGCATATTATTCTTGATCAGCATCAAATTCTAAACCTATTTAAGTGCATCTATCCGCCCGTTTGCCAAATTTAAGTTATCGGCTTCAAATTTGACGAAACTATTAGAAATTCCTGCACACACGCTAGTATTGAAATTGAACTAAATCGGTCAAGGGATACGCCCACACTTCAACATAACCTAAGATTAACTCCTTTTTGCAAAACTAAATAAAATTTCATTATTTGTTTCGCTAGTCGTAAACCACAACAGATGCAACGATAAAAATTTGCATTTATGTTCTATGAGTGATCTTGTAGTACCTGTACAAAATGAAAAACAATCGCCCACGTCTGCTTAATAATATGCAATATTGAAAAAAGCTGCAGAGGCCCTATAAAGTTTATATATTCTTGACAATTATTATATGGTGACGGATGCAAAAAATCTCGATCGCCGACGACGTCTTTTTTTGTCGTCAGGTTATCGCTGATAAGGATTACCATTTGAAAACTGTATTCGTGACGATTGTCGGCTCGTAGGCGGCCCAAGTTTCTCTTCAGATCAATTTTAAATATTTACCGCTCTAACGAAAACGTATCCAAGAAGCTTAGATTCATTTAAACGATTCTAATAAATGCTTGTTTCGAATTTCAGATCGATATCTGAATCTATCTGCTCTACAAGTGTTTAATGAAATTATTTTAATAAAAAATATTTGGAATTTTCTTAAGCTTAATAGCTTAGATAGTTCAAATTTTGAAGTATATTAAATGTGACCAAGTTCGTGAGCAATCATTGACATATCTTGAAAGACGAACTGTTCTTCAATTGTCTACCACTCAACGATAACGCCTCCAATGATGTTATCTTTCCGTTAATAGTTTCGATATGTAATGACGTCTATTATATGCGTCACACTTTAAACCAATTTAGCGAAAGAAATGCAATATGTGCTCTCACTATATTGGTTTTGTATCATGCGGAAGTTTGGGCTAAAGTTTATTAATTTCGTTAACATTTTCACAGTTAAAGCAAAACTATGCGATTTGTATTTTCTTAAAAATTTACAAAGACTTAATGTGCACAATGTACTTAGAATTTTGATAGGCATTCGAGTGGTATTTGGACGTACACATCTGCCCGGCCATTCAGTTCACCTTTACTATTTAACTCGACTGAAAGTTGAAAAAAAATCTAAAAATTAAAATCACTTGTTATTGTATGTGTATGTTGCATTCGCCGCGACTGATCATTTAGATGAAAAGTCTTCCCGCGGGAACAGAATTATCGTATATGTGGTAATCTAGAATGTCATATATCGTTATGTAAAGAATTGCTTGGGTAGGCTTCGGTAACCTCTTAAGTGAACCCATACATTTTAAATAGAAAATGACAATATATCGGTAAGCGAATCTTTACCCTGAAGTGAAGAAATATATCAAATTCGTTAAATAGTGAAATTGATTACAATTTTAATCCTTAATCCTTATTTCATCTCCTCAGGCTAATTT